GAGTCACAGCTACATCCCCATAACAAGGTTTCTGTCAATGACGTCCTGCATATACAGCAGTGGTCCCATAAGATTATAATACCATATTTTTACTGTACCTTTTCTAGGTTTAGATGTGTTTAGATACAAAGATACTTAGAATTGTGTTATAATTACCTACAGTACCCAGTACAATAACATGCTATACAGGTTTGCAGCATAGGAGCAATAGGCTATACCGTACAGCCTAGGTGTGTAGTAGGCTATATACCATCTAGGTTTGTGTAAGGACACTGCATTATGTTCACACGGTGACAAAATTGCCTAATAGCACGTTTCTCAAACAAAAGCCCCGTGGTAAAGGAAGAAAGCCCGGAATGGAACTAACTGAAATGGGCAAAATTTTGGAAAAGAAAAAATCCTTGGGGAAAAAAACCTTAACAACAAAAAAAAACGGGGGGAAAAAAAAATCCAACAACTCTTGTGGCTTTTAGTTACTTTTTGTTTGACCTACGATAAGAATATTTTTAGATACTGAGACTCAAATATTTGAAGATTTTTCAAAGTCAAGTGATTGCAGTATTTATTAGTTTATCTAATACAATAAAGAAAATGATGCTATATTGAAAAAAATTTTTGTAAAATAAGAATTTAAATTTATCTTGTCTAAATAACAAATACAAAACATCTGCCTCTGATATTCGCACTTCACTAAGCAGATTGTTTTTAAAATTGGTATTTGAAAAAATCTTGGGTAACTATAAAATTTACACTTTCATTGAATATAATAGTTGTATTTTTAAAAATCTGAAACATTATCTTGGGGATAAGACCTTCTGATATATAAAATGAAAATCTGTAACAAGATAGCCAAAGTAATTTTGAAACTTGTTCACAGAATTTATGTCCTGCTCAATCTTGTGTAAAAAACATCAGTTAATACAGATTACAGTTTAAAAAACAAATAAACAACTCCCCCATTATTACCTTGTGTTAATTCATTAATAGCTACTTATTCCTGTGAACTACATTTTTTCTGATAATTAATAAGATCTTTAAACATTTTGTTGATTTGCATACTAATCTATGTTTACTGAATTTGCATGGCTGTACTTTTATTGAAGTAAATAAAAGAAAAAACATACTGATAGGCAAGTGATCATAATATCGTGGCTCATTTTCAGAAATTTTAATTTCTATTTTCATTTAGTTTGTACTTTATAAATGTCAATGCTACATCAATACAAAATAAAGCTAGAACAAATACCAGTAAAACTATTTAAAATAGTAAATTCACCTCTAAAAATAGTAAAATAGTTTCAGACTGTTTGGCTAATTTCCAGAATTAGCCCCATTTGCATAAATTTAACTTTAATAGTGTTGATTTCAGAAATTGAAACATATCTGGGTTTCAGATTTATAAGAAGTATTTTTACTCTGTAGATTACTATTTTTCATGACTAAATGTGA